ATATATATATGTATGTGTGTATATATATATATATATATATATATATATATATATATATATATATATATATATATGTATATATATATATATATACATATATATATTATTAGCTTGCAATAATATCTAAATAAAAATATTTTCATTTCATGGGAACTCTAATTTGAACTAATGTTTTCATGTTGTGTCGAGAAGGCCTTTCTTGCACCACTTTTAATATGACACCCATTTTTTTTATTATTCTACAGAGTCTGCAGTCAAAGAGCAAAACTAGTTACACTAAGGTGATTCAGGAACTGTTCACGGTGGTTCCTGGAGAAGGACACTACTCAGACGCTGGTCCTGATCGCTGCAGAACCTGTGCTGTGGTGGGAAACTCTGGAAATCTCCTGGGAACCAAATATGGAAAGCTTATTGACAACCATGACTTTGTGTTTAGGTAAACTTTTGTTTTCATCGCTCGAAGTAACTATATATATTAATTAGTTATTAATAATTAATTAATTCTAACAAATTACCAATTACCAATACATATACACACACACACACACACACACACACACACACACACACACACACACACACATATATATATATATATATATATATATATATATACATACATGATTTGATGCTTGTTAATTTTGAAGATGGAGTTGCAGACACCTTTACCGATATCAAAGTGCTTTTTTTTTTTTTAAGCAAAATTTATTTTACAGTTATTCCTTATGCCGATTAAAAATCTTGAGTAGGCCTAATAAAGAGAATTTTCTCTAAATGTAGAACTAAATACATTAATATGCATTGAATACATGATAAATACTCTTGACACATGAAAGTGTAAAGCCTGCAGCTCACAACAAAGGTGTAAAGTTATTGGGTGTCATATTTTACAAACCATTTACTGCTAATTTTATGTAATTTTACTCGCATGAATAATTGAATATTAATCAGATGATGTCATTACGCTGCTGTGCCATCAGCCAATCATTGCATTTCTGATCATGATTTCTCAACAAACACGGCAATCACAGATCAGTTCATTCAGACATTTTAAATTGCTTCGCCAACTTGTTTAAAAAACCAAATAAGCCAGAGATCAGTTATCAAGATTAACAGATCCAGGATCTGCCAAATCATCTTAGATCATTTAAGCAAGGTACAAAGAACAGACCCCAGGACACCGGCCCTCCTGAACCGAGTGTGGACGCCTCTGCTTTTAGGTGTTTACATGTTTATACTGCACGTCAATAAAACAACTAAAATAGGAATACCCCACATTTCTTAATTCAATTTCTGTTTATTTCGATTATGTCGGATTAAGCTAATCAAACATTGCTTTTTACATGGTAGACTCTTAATCAGAGTATAATCTTAATCATATTGAAATTACAGTATTTTTGTCCATGTAAATGTACTTACTGATTATGAGGCTTTATTATTGCAGTATAATTATGTTCTTCTTCCCTCAGGATGAATAAGGCGCCGATTAAAGGCTATGAGAAGGATGTGGGGTCCAGAACGACCCACCGTATCATGTACCCAGAAAGTGCCACTCATCTGGACAACAGCACCCACCTGCTGCTGGTGCCCTTCAAAACACTGGACCTCCAGTGGCTCACCAGCACTTTAACTAATGGGACCATCAAGCGGTGAGGGAAAGGTTAAATATCACACAGATATAAGATCACATTCATTCATTTTATTTTTGGCTTAGTCCCTTTAATAATCTGGGGTCACCACAGCAGAATGTACTGCCAACTTATCCAGGATATATTTTAAGCAGCGGATGCCCTTCCAGCTGCAACCCATCATTGGGAAATTCCCAAACACACTCATTCACACACATACACTACAGACAATTTAGCTTACCCAATTCACCTATATAATATGTTTTTGGACTGTGGGGGAAACCCACACCAACACTGGGAGAACATGCAAACTCCACACAGAAATGCTAACTGAACTAGCCTAGGCTTGAACCTGCAACCTTCTTGCTGTGAGGCAATCGTACTACCCACTGTGCTACCATTATGCCCCATTGGTTTTATTATCTTCTTGGATTACCTGCACATTTGTTGTCATATGACTTTTTCTAATCTTATTTTACTGAACAGAACACGAATGAAGGTTATCAACAAGTTACAAGCCGACAAGAACAAGGTAAAACCACACAGTACCTTGATTTTTTTTTTTTTTTTTTTTTTTTTTTTCTTGTCAAAAATAATCCTTTGACCAGAACAGTTAATTTAAAGATTTTTTTTGGTTAACAGTTAGGAGTAGTAAAGTTTATCTAATGGGACTGGACAGCTATGGAGACTAATTTTAGGGTACGCAGAGAACTGAGATACTGTCACAACAATACCATGACCGTTAGAAAAGATACTAATTATTTTACCATTCCTGAAATTGTACGTGCATCATTCATTCATAATCAATATGGAAAACTCAAATTTCAGATAATAAAAATAATAATTATTATTATTTATTGGATTTTTTTATATTAATCAAAAGACAAATGTGTCTATAAAAAATAATATATTATTATGGTTTTTACATTTCTATATTTTTAATTATACAGTTAGTCAGATTTATTAGCCCCCTGTTTATCCCCCCAATCTCTCATCTCTAATAACTGATTTATTTAATCTTTGCCATGATGACTAAATAATATTTGACTAGATATTTTTCAAGACACTTCTATACAGCTTAAAGTCACAGTTAAAGGCTTAACTAGGTTAATTAGGTTAACTAGGCAGGTTAGGGTAATTATGCAAGTTATTGTATAACGATGGTTTGTTCTGTAGACAAAATTATTTATCGGGAAAATAAATAGCTTAAAGGGGTTAATAATATTGACATTAAAATTGTGTTTAAAAAAATTAAAAACTGCTTTTATTCTAGCCGAAATAAAACAAGACCTTTTTCCAGAAGAAAAAATATTATTGGAAATACTGTGAAAATGATCTTGCTGTTAAACATAATTTGGGAAATATTTGAAAAATAAAAATGCACAGGAGCAAATAATTTTGATCTAAACTTTATTCCAATACAAACAATGCCGTCAAAACATGTTCAACCATTTAAAACCCTGTTTATATCTGTATTTATTGTCATCCACGTATAATCACACCAAAAAAAGCAGCATCTTAATAAATGCAAAATGGTCTTTAGATTGTTTCTTCGGTTCTGAAGGGGTTTATAATCCTCCTGTTGTTCCAGGTGATGGTAATGCACCCTGCATTCATGCATTACGTGCACAATACATGGCTGCATATTAAAGCTCGAAGATCTTATCCATCCACCGGTATCCTCGTGTTAATCTTCGCCCTCCACATCTGCGACCAGGTAAATCTTTACACATTTTTTAAACCCCAATATCAGCTACTGTCTCTCACCTGTTTTTCGGTGTTTAGGTCAGCGTGTTTGGCTTTGGCGCAAACAGCAAAGGATATTGGTATCACTATTTCGAAAAGATGCCCAAGTTCTTCTGGCGCACCGGCTTACACAGTGGAGGAATTGAGCATGACGTCATTAAAGAGCTTCAGAAAAGAAAACTGATCGATCTTTACAAAGGATGGTGAGGAGGACCATGAGCTTGAGATGTTATTAAATGAAAATTGATTGGTACTTTATGATAAGTGTATTGTGATATAAAAGTCGAAGTCTGAATTATGAGCCCCCCTGTATATTTTATACTCCATTTCTGTTTAATGGAGAGATTATTTATTCAACACGTTTCTAAACATAAGTTTTAATAACTCATTTCTAATAACTGATTTATCATCTTTGCCATGATGACATGCAACTAAATATCATTAGAATATTAGCAGACTGTTTATTTCTGCTCCAATTTACAAGTACAAGCCAACTGAGGGTCGCAAATCTGTCTGATAATTAAAAAATCCATATCATTTATGAATATTTGGCAAATTTAGCAAGAATACAGCCTTTTATAATAATAATAATAATAATAATAATAATAATAATAATAATAAAATGTATGGTATATAGCGCTTTTCTAGATACTCAAAGCACTTTACACAATGGGTGGAATCTCCTCATCCACCCAGGTGGATGCTGCACTGGTGATGACACGACAGCAACCATATTGCTGCCCGCACATAAGCTTATTGGTGAAGAGGAGACCGAGTGATGAAGCCAATTATGATATGGGAATTGTTAGGAGGCCAGTTGGAATTTATGGCCAGGATGCCGGGGTTAAACCCCTACTCTTTTTTTTTTCAAAGGACATCCTGGTGTTTTTAACAACCACAGAGAGCCAGGACCTCAGTTTAAGGTCTCAACACCACTTCCGACAGCAACCGAGCTTTACCATGTGGTCTCCTATGCTGGTACTGACCAGTCACCGCCCTGCTTAGCTTTAGTGGGAGGCCATGTGAGAGTTACAGATAGCTAGCTAGCTAGCTTCTTGCCTTGAATTGTTTACTTGCTACATAACGTCAATGTAAAATGATAGATGTGCATAATTATGAAAAATTTAGTAATCCTAACAGTTCTAAGTTGCGTTGGGATTGGTCACTTTTTTTAACTAATCGCTTTTTACAGTGTCAAACATAAGTGTAGAAGTTTACATTGTTGACCCACAGATGTCCTTTCCAACTTAATCTTAACCTAATCTTAAAAGCATTGAAAATGTTTAACTTTGCGAAGCCCATAACTTAAATAGCCAGTCATAGCAGTGGGCATTAACTACATTTATTTAAATTTAATTTAAGCTTTAACTGACTTAAAACAGCTTGCATAACTTATCAAATTAAGTTAATCATGATTAACTTAGTTTAATAAGTTACAATGAACTAAACTTTTTTTACTGTGTAAATTGTGATTTTGAGCTCAGAGAAGATTACAACATATTACAAACTTTCCTTGTGTTACAAAAACCACTTTCTATTCATCAGAGCAACCTTAATAAAATGAATCAGAGTTTCCACTTATAAGACATGAATGGAATATAAGACATGAGTGGTTGAAGTGAAAGTGTGAAACTGAAAGTTCAGCTTTGCATCACAGGAATAAAAAGAAAAGCATGGTCAGACACATTAAAATGGAAAGCAGTTAATAAATGTTATTTAAAAAAAATTTAAATGTTATTTTAATCAGACTTCTCAGTGGTTTTAATCAAATCAGTGCAATTTTTGTGAGATTTCATAAATTCTTACCGACACCAAACATTTTGACTTGAATTATGTTTACACTGAATGAAATGACAGTATGAATGAATAAAAATAAATTATTTTTGGAGTTTTAAATTATATTGTAGTTATTTATTTATTTATTTTTCAGTTATAGTTATGTTGGAAATAATTCTGTTTATGTTTCACTACCACTGAAAAGGAGTGGCTGTATTTGGGCCTGTTTAAGACTTAACATTTTGTTCTACCAAATCTGTATATCCACATAGTTCTTACGCAGACAAGTAAGCGATTGTTAATCCTACATGCGCAAGTATCATTAGGACACGCCTCCAGTGAAACATAAATGGTCATACAGTAGCTGCATTCATAAACACTACATTGTTTCTCACACTTGTCACAGTTGACTTGTATAAGATTTGACAGCAGTTACGCAACTTGTGCTTAAACCTGTCAGTTTCCAATAGTCTTCAATGTACCTTCTTTTGTGTTCAACAACAACAACAAAAGAGAAATGAGTGACATAATTTTCTTTTTTTTTTTGGTGAACTATCACTTTAAGTGTTAAAAGTCATTTAAACATCTCAAAGCCTTTTTATTAGTTGTCTTTGTGATTGATGAAGTGAAGTGTGAAGCTCCTGAATAGGCCTTCAGTAGGAATGCATGCAATTCTGTTTAATTTGTTCATACAGTACATATTCAGCCACGCCACTGTTAAATAAACTGTTGGCGTTCATCTAAAAGGGCGAAGCGAACTGCTGTAGGCACGGCATATTTGTTGTAAATAAGTATTGACATGTTTGGCAAATTAGTAGGCCTGAAGCTGTTTTATTGTATGCTGAATGTGTCACTGTCACATTAATTGGCCACACATATAAAGCTCAATTGATCTTGCTAATCTACCATTACTGAACACTTCTATAAACACACAGTGATGATAGATAGATAGATAGATAGATAGATAGATAGATAGATAGATAGATAGATAGATAGATAGATAGATAGATAGATAGTGTTGAATGGACAGACAGGTGGGTAGATTGACTAACAGACGGACGGATAGATAGATAGATATAGATAGATAGATAGTGATGAATGGACAGACAGATGGGTAGATTGACTAACAGATAGATAGATAGATAGATAGATAGATAGATAGATAGATAGATAGATAGATAGATAGATAGTGATGAATGGACAGACAGATGGGTAGATTGACTAACACAGAGGTTCTCAAAGTGGGGGTCGGGACCCCCCGAGGGGTTGTGGGACAATGAAGGGGGGTCGCCTGGTGATTTTCAAAAATCAATTAATTTCTATTAAACCTTAAGACTTACTGTATTTTATCAATAACCTACTGAAGAGAAAAAATAGTCATTTATCGTTACTATAAACTATATAGTTACTATAGTAGCTTATAGTCACTAGTTCTATTGGATTGCGACTTCTCTGGTAATTACATTATACTGAAGGCACAGCAATACTGTCAGATGCAGCAGATTGATTTTATAACACCAGGTTAAACTTTCTAGCCCATTTACAGCACTGACATACATAAAAAAAACAAAGAATAGTCTTGGGTCTATTGGTGTGTGTGTGTGTGTCATTGCATACAAGGTTTCTGTATTTATAACCACCACCTCAGAGAATATTGGGGGTCACGAGTCACTGGCATTGTCATTTTGGGGGTCGCGGGCTGAAAAGTTTGGGAACCCCTGGACTAACAGACAGACGGATAGATAGATAGATAGATAGACACACAGATGATTAGACAGACAGACAGACAGGTAGGTAGGTAGATAGGCAGACAGACGGATTGACAGACAGACAGACAGACAGACAAATAGATATATTGGCTGACAGACTGATGGACGGATCGATAACTGGATGGATGGATGGATGGATGGACAAAGAGACAGACAGACAGTTGCTGGAGGCCACCAGTAGCAGCAAACATCAGACTGAAAGCTGAGATTTTCTGCATTACAACTTCCAGTCGGGAATGTTTACAACTGCAAGGAGCCATTGGAACACACACACACACACTCACACACACTCACTATCTAACAAACCAGTCAGACCTGAAATATTTTTTATATGTACTCACACAAACACACACATGATTATTAACATATCATACCATATCATTATACAAAATCTCTTTGCATTTTGATTTCCACTAGAACCACCCACACACACACACACACACACACACACATACTCTCTCTCTCTAACAATCCAGTCAGACCTGAAATATTTATTTTGTTTACACAGATTGTTTTGATCAGGCTTCAGATTTTCAAAAACCTACAAAAATGTTAGGTTATTTCAAACTAAATTTGGGTAAAATATGAACACAACCAATCACTTAGTTGTTTTGAGTTCAATGTATAGACCAAATTGACCCATATTTCACCCAATTTTAAGTTGAAATATGCCAACATTTTTCAGTGCAGGGATGGTGGCATAGTGGCTCAGTGGTTTGCACTGTTGCCTCACATTCTAAAGGTCACTGGTTCGACCAGTTGGCATTTCTGTGTTGAGTTTGCATGTTCTCCTCGTGTTGGCGTAGGTTTCCTCCGGGTGCTCCGCTTTCACAGGCCAAACACATGCGCATAGGTGAATTGGGTGAACAAAATCGTTTGTAGTGTATGAGTGTGAATTTGAATGCGAGGTTGTGTGGGTGTTTCCAACTGGGTTGCGGCTGGAAGGGCATCTGCTGCATAAAACATATGCTGGAATAGTTGACGGTTCATTCTGCTGTGACAACTTCTGATAAATCAGACACTAAGCAGAAGAAAAATGAATGAATATTTACATATTTGCAAACAAACATTCCTTTTCCTTCAGCTTAGTCCCTTTATTATTAAGGGGTCGTCGCAGGGGAATGAACCGCCAACTTATCCAGCATATGTTTTACACAGCAGATGCAACCCAGTACTGGGAAACACCCATACACTCTCACATTCACACACTCACACTCATACACTACGGCCAGTTTAGTTGATCCAATAGTGTATGTCTTTGGACTGTGAGGGAAACCGGTGCATCCAGAGGATACCCACGCCAACATGGGAAGAACATGCCAACTGACCCAGCCACTACTCGAACCAGCGACCTTCTTGCTTTAAAGCGACAGTGCTAACCACTGTGCAGTCCCTGCAAACAAATGATATATACAGTATATAAATCAATATTATATATAGACCCACTAATATCAAACTCTGATGGGATTGTCCTGCTAGATCTGTTATAAAACAATGACAATGACTGATGAGTTTTTCAATGTTACACATTGTCCTTCTCATGGCAATGTTCTGTTTGGCTCGTTTCAATGGTTTGTTCATTTTACAGTCAAACCCCACCACAGTGCATTCGGATGCAGACCACACTGGCAGAGCAACCTCATTAGAATTTGTTTGAATCAAACTAAACCTCCCAAATATGAACATATCTTACCAGGCTTGATGATTTCATTATCTAAAGCAAGCAGATGCTAGAGGTGTCCAGTTCCCACAACCTTTGTCCTGCTCAGGGTGGTCAGAGGGTCTTCAGAGGTCGCAAAGGTCACCTGAACTGTTGTTTTGCCACAAAGAAGGTCGTGTGTAACCCACCAATCCAACTCTTCCTACTTCTCTGGCAGATGGGACAGTTTTTTTTTTTTCTATCAATTTAACAATGCACACACATTCTGAATCCTGCTTCTTTTTAAACTACATATGCAACCGCAGTACAAAATTATCATTCATAAATTAAAGACTAAATTATATGTATATTAAATTAAATTCACATTTAAAATTAATTAAAAGCATAAATGTAATACTATTATGATATTGCTTTGTTAAATAATCATGACAAGGAGTTAAAGTTATAAATTAATCACGTTAATACACCAAGTGTACTAATTTGTGACTAATATAAAATTTACTTTAGATAAAAGCAATGTTTCTTGTGCTCAAATTAACATTAATTGATTAATTAAAATAAATATAAACTCAAAATTAAAGATAATTAACTTTGACTAAATTTATTTAGCAGTGGTAGGGTAAACATTAAGTAAATTTGACGTAATATCGACAAGTAGATTGTAATTGAGATTTTAATTAGGATTACTCATTTTGATTACTTTTAATTATTTAATTAGATTTTATCGTAATTTTTTTGTATATATATATATATATA